ATTAAATAATTTAATAATTTCGAAAATAATCAAAATTTTTAGATAAAAAGCATATGTATTTTAGAAAATTAAACATAGAAAAAAATAATGAAGTAATGAATTAATAAAAAATTTAATTTAAGAAATAATTTAATTTCTTATGTAATTTGCATATATATTTTAGAAAATTAAACGTAAACAGGTAGTAATGAATTAATAAAAAATTATTATTATCCGTATAAAATAAAATAAGTAAAAAAAACTAAAATGAAATTAACTTTAATTAAGGTTCTATGAAAATATTTATTGATTAAAATGAATTTTTACATATTTAATGATACTAAAAGTTCAATGAAACACAATGAAGAAAATTAAAAATATTTAATAAACCCCTTAATCCATAAAGCTTAATCCTCAGTCCACCTCCTCAACTTCTCCATTACTTTCCATTTTCTCATTTTTCCTCAATTTCTTTTAATAAACCTTCTCACAAATAAGAGGATTTCCAAAAAAATTCACAAAAAAAATGGTATTAAATATATTCAATATTTAAAACATTTAATACAATACAATTTAAGAATTATAATTGAAAATTCATTTAATAATAATTTAATTTAATAATTTAATAATAATTTCATTTTAACGTCATTATTTATAATATATTAATATTTATTATTTATAATACCATTATGTAATAGCACATTTATTTTATATTTATTTTTATGTTATATTGGTTTGTACTAGAAGGATAGCCAATTGTAGTTTGGATTATGTCTCATGATAGGTGTAACCTAATATCGAGAAGACTGAATGGCACTGGTAACCCATCAGTGTCTTTAATTCTTAATTAACCCTCTGATTCTTTGAAAAAAATTCTCATCGTGTTAACAGCCAGTGAAAGAATATGGTCAGAGGTGATGAACATTGATTACTTATACATTTACATTTTTAATTTTATAGCACAATTAGCTATAATACTTCTGCTTATCATATTAACTATTAGCTATTTCGTTATCACTCTTCATCATTAACGCATTTTTCTATTACGTTAACCGCAGCAATAATTATAATTCGATTTCTATTCTTCTTATTCTTCCAACAATGTTCATCATTTAGAGTGATGTGGGTGGCTATAATAGTCATTATAGAAGAAGAATTAATTTAAAAAATTAATTAAGACAAAAGTACTAGTGGATTCTTAGCACCACCCAGACTCTGCTTTTAACGATGACGACCTAATATTACTGAATCGAAGTAACATACCAACCAACCACTCGACAATGCAGTCTCTCTATTTCAGTCGTCTCTACGGTGATGAAATCCATTAAACGAGCTTTAATAGGTCATCAAAACAATTGTTGAATTTAATAAAATGAAATAGATCAAATAAAATTAAATAAAAATTTTTGAAAAAAAAAATACAGAAAATATAAATTTCGACAGAAATCATCGCTGACAATTGTTCAGGCAAATGTCATTAGTTTAATTGATAGACAAATCATCATTTTCTTCGAATATTTATCACTCCTCTTTTTTCTTACTTTAATCATCATTCAATCTTTTAAAAAATTTTTATTAAAATTTAATCAAAAATTTTTAAAAAAAATTTCAAAATATAGAAATCCCATATGGCGAGGTTTCTTTCTTCACGATTAAAACTAAAAGAATAAAAAAAACTTATTTATATGTTTTCGGGTGATTGCTGTGAATTATGCCTCTATCGCTTGCCCCAAGTGACTAAGCCTTTGATAAAATGCCTTAGACAACTCAACTCGATTCTCAACTAATTTCCAATAATCAGTAGAAAACAGCCAAAATGTACTGAGAAGAGGAATGTTTGCATCGTATTAAATTAGTCGAAAAATAAAATAAAGAAATCCTTTTGCTAATTTTTTCCAGGTTTTCATGTTAAAATTACGTCAATCGTATCAAAATGGATTGTTTTTTTTAAAAATTTCAATTTCAAGAAATCTATTTTTCTCTCTTTTACTCGAAAAAAACGTCGATGATAAAAAAATCAATCAGTGATAACGACAACGAAGTTAAAAGCGAAAAGCATTGGATCTTTACGGCCAATGAAAACTATTGGCAATCACTTAGGCATAAAGGGAAGGCCTTTTTAAAAGATCCATTTTTTGATCAAAATTGATTTATCTGAAGATAAAAATGAGTCCATCGATGAAAAGTTCAATTGAACGTATTTGGTTAATGATCAAAGATCATTGGTAAAAATTCTAATTAAAAATTTATTATTAACGATAATTATGGAAATATTTAAATAATTCTACTTTAATCTTCAAAAAAAAAAAACGAACTTTTGGTGGAGAGTGTTTTTTGAAAACACTACTTTCACGTTCTAAATCATCGTAATATTTTTTCACATTTATCTGAAATTATTTAAAATTAAAATAAATAAAAATTTCTAAAAATATTTTAGAATATCTCGAAATATTTAGAAAACTACATTTTAGAAAAGAGATATTTCCCCAGGGAATATCCACAACGAATATTATTGCTATTACCATTTTTTCATTTTTTTATGAAGAAAAAACCTTAGATTCTGGAAAATTTTGTCTTTCACCAAGTTCGGGCCGTAATAGGAAAAAATCACCATCATTTATCTAAAGCAAAATTTTTGCAAATGATAAAATGTATAAAAGAAAAAGAATGAATGATAAATGAAAAGCTGTTAAATGAATGACAACTAAAAAACTAAAAGTATGTGACAGTTCTTTTTTCTAACCTCATCATCATATGATAAAAAAATAAGAATTTTAGCTTCATTAGTTGATTTTTGTTAAAAGAATAGATGAAGATGAGAAATAAAATGAAGATCAAAGATTTTAGAATTTTTAACAATTTTTAGAAAAAACTTAGAACCTTTTTTTTATAAAAAGGCTAATCTTAGTAATCCATAATCTTTCCCCAAGTACCAATTTAAAAAATTGGTAAAAATTTAAATGAAATTAAAGGAAACCAATGTTCGATCAAACGAATGAATATTATTGCTATTGTTTATGTTGAAACCACCTTCGATCTATAAACAATAAAATGCTTTCTATCGAAAAATAAATTTTTCAGAATTATTTATATTTTTGATTATTTTATATTTTTGATAATATTTTTGCTAATTAAATTTTTAAATTAATAATTTTCGAAACCTAAAAATTTCATACGAAAGTTTTCATATATCTAATAAATATAAGTGCAATTCATGAATTTAATTCAATTGAAAATCGAATATTTATCCAGAAAATTAATGAAAAAATCCCATAAAAACATCAAAATTGAACACAGGGTAATTCTTTGATTATATATTCTTTGGTAGTGGAATATGCTGTGGCCTCGAGCAACTATTAAAAACCTAATTTGGATGATTTTTCATTAGATTAAACTTCTAGAAATAACGCATTACCGCATTTCAACGAGTGATAGTCCAATATATAATGCTTTTGCAGTTAAAACAATACATCACGTAACCTGGCTAGCTGGCTACTAGAGTGTCGCCATGACCATTAAATTAACAACTATACTCAAAATTTTTATAACTTGACATCACAGGTTTGCATGTTGGTGAACCAAAAGAAGACTGATAAATTCAGACTGATAAAAATAAAATTTCATTTGCATCTAATTAATTAACAAACCATCATATTTGCTTTCTTGATAAGCCTTCGTAGTGGGAATGCCATACAACCAAGTATACGTTTTCTTCTGAAATCCATCTAATCACCTATTGTATTCAAATAGAAATTTAATTTAATTTAATTTATTTAATTTATCTCTTTAAGAAAAATTTTAAATTATGAATTATTTTAAATTAAACTATTTTAAATTATGAATTTTAAATAAAAATTAAATTAAGAAAAATTATGAATGATAATAACGAAATATTTACTAGCAAATAATCTTCATTTATTTTACTTTCTATAGTTTTTTAAATGGAAAACAAATTCTAATATTATTATTATTATTTATGGAGGAATACGATAGTGATTAAGATTATTGTGCTGTGTGGTAAAGGTTCCATCCTCGAGTAGGCAAGTAGGTTAGTACACCAATAAACTTATTTTTCGTTATGCTGAAAAATTTATGTTTCAATTGCCAGACCAGATTCCTATGCAAAAATTTCTAACAACCAATTAAGTACGCTCAACCAAAAATGATAACCACCAACTAATTATTTATTTTTATTTATTTCTATTATTTTATTTTATTTATACTTTTATTACTTTTATTATTATTTATACTTTTATTCATATTCATAATTTAATTTATTTAAATTACCTTTTAACCCTTTTGATAAAAATTTTCTCTAAATTAACTTCAAAAATTAAAAACAATAAAATTTTTTAAAATATCGTTGAATTTTTTTTGACAGTATTTGGCGATAATTTAAGAGATTCATTTTCATAAGTTCATGAAATTTAATCATCATTTTTCCACACTTTATGAAATTTAATCTAAGTGTGCTTTTATTTTTTATTTATATATTTTTTTATTTTTATCTAATTATATTATTTATTTAAATAAAGGATCATTTAAAATTTTTCATTTTTCAGGATCATTTTTCTATATCCAAGTTCTAAAAAGTAAAGAAATGAGATACAAAAATTAATTTATTATTAAAAATTATTAAAAATGACTTTAAAAAAAATTATTTTGCAAGGAAGCACTAACAAAATATTATCGATATTTGTAATCCAAACACTAACACTTAGCAAATCATGATAACGAAAATTTGCACGACGTAATTCACTGAAAATATTTATCAAAATATTTATTAGAATTTGTTTTTTTCCAGATTAATTTAATTTATAATTTATTTTTCAAACCTTATTGAATTTATTGAACTTATTAACAAAGAGAACATTTCTGAAACTATAATCTGCAAAAAGCATATTAAATCCAACCTTATGCTAAAATCTTATCATATTTACAAAAAATATTATCACTATCATTAATGATAATTCTATCACTAAAAGTGGATATATCTATAAAAAAATAGAGATGAAAATAATTTACAAAGTAAAGCTCTCGTAAAATTGAGGTTTATTATTGAATGGTATAACTCTAGTACGGTAACTTTGTTCCATATTTTGACAAAATCGTTCTTCGGAATGCGTTCGAAGGTGAATTCGTCGCCGATATAATGGATTTGATTTTATTTCAACCTAAAATTGTGGTTGAACCTATTAAAAGAAGTACCACCAATTCTATTGGAATTAAAGATTTATTTATTACGAATTATTTTTTTTTTTTGTAATTCATTGAAATATTTTAAAATTTTTTTAATATTTAAATAAATATGTTTAAATGTTAAAATAAGTGATTTAATTGCAAAATTCACTCGTAAAAAAATAAATTATATAAATAATACGATAAATCATCGTTATTTCATCTCGCGAGCATAAAAGTGATAGGTGAAATGTTTATATATAAATCATTTACTGCTATTGCTATTAATATTTACTGATCAGTATTTTGATCAGTAAATCAGTTATTTTCATCTGGATGCATATCTGATAAGAAAAAAATACGTAGGCTAGTTTTCTTGCTCTTTTTCTAACATTTACCACCTATTCGTTGGCTTCATTAACTACTGTACTATACTAAACCAAGATCCTTTCTAAATAGAATCACTTAGAGAGAGAGCCCGATCGCCAGTATAGACTCGGATTTAGTAAATTTCAGGCTTCATCCAGTCAAAAGATCGAAATCGAACTTTATCTTATTTTATTAGAAATATGACTTAACTAAAATCTATACCACATCTGCATAAGACCAACTGGCTCAAAAGATCTTTCTTTCGTTATTAAATGAATTTTCGCAAGACATTTTTAATAAAATATAATTCATTTATACAACGTCAGTACAAAAAGAGATCTGCCACCGAAAAGAGAATGACTTTGGTACTTGAAGAAATAAAAATATTTTTTCACTATATTCGTAAAATATCCCTATTCTTTTCGTCATTTACGGTCCAGTGCCAAGATGCATCTCCTAATTTAGTGAGTGTAATTGGAGGTATCCTTATTTGTGACTTTTTTTTGTCCATTAATAATTTGTAACTTTTTGTAATTTAAATCTATCAATTTTTTAAAAAAATCACTTTTTAAATAATTTAAATCCCATAATAGAATTAGTGAAATTGATTCACTGATTTTTTAAATATAAACAGATAAAAACAAACTGATAAAAAATGTTTTACAAAAATACAGACCCATATCTTTCTTAATAAAAATAGATATTGTGGTGCTTAAGAAATAAAGGAAACTGATAGGTTCAAATGACTAATGACTATTAAAAACCGAACGCACTTCTATCTATCAAATGGAATGAACCTTGTCCCAGTATCCCAGTGTTCTATCCCTAATCTCCGCCTATAAAATCAAAAGTGGTGCGTCCTGTTTAGCAAAATAACGAATATCCGAGAGCAGCTACCTTGCAGACTATGGAAGAGAAAGAATGGAAATTTACTCGAGCATATGAAGAAACTTGTGATTCTGATGGATCCAAAAAGTAGAAAGCATTAACGACGCTAACTGTAAGATAACAATCCGTTAGCGACATAGTTAAATGAATTTTCCCTTTACATCCAATGCGCCTTGCAAATGGAGCCGGAAGACCAAAAGAATCAGACTTCCATTTGGTAATAAAGCCTGTCGAATGTATCTCCGGATTTACATGACGATATCGATCAGCCCTTGGTGTCTAAAATATTAATAAATCGACTTTAACTATACAATTTATATATTTTTATATGAAGTCGCTAATGGTAAGTAGCTGGGGATAGAATGGCTCATTGGAGCGCCGATATATTCTATTTCTCGCAGAAGTAAACCTGTCCAAAAATGCGGTCAATGCTGGCGATTCACCTGCATTTCTATCGCCAAGGAATTCTCTGGAATATTTGTCCAGTGCAACAAGTCAACAGAGCGAGTTTAACCATTAATGGTGAGAATTCTTTTAAAAAAAGTGATAAGTGATTGGTATTCGCCTATGGGCAAGTTGGCATAATTTGAGTGAAGCTGGAAACAAATATCATAACAGATTCTATATGCATGAAATATAGAAAGATATCATTCGCAATATTAAATGACAACGACAATTTTTGGTAACCTGTTCGAGGAAAGTGCCGGGCTTGCGAAAAGCATCATATCCATTCATATTTTGACTAAGTATAGAAGAAGGGCCAGATGGCGGTAATACGAGTGGAACTGGTGGTACTTGAGGCTGCAACATTGCTCAGATTTTTAGCGACACATAATTTGAAAAGAAAATAAAAATTAGAAAATAAAATACTTGAAATGATCTTGAAAAGCATCTTTAAATATATTCGTAACCGGTTTTTTTTCTTGTTAAATGTAACTCATTAAGGCCAAATCGTTTGATCGATGAAGAAAATAGAAAAAGCCACCAATTCCTTTTAAAAATTATAAACCTTAACATGATAAGGATTGGTCTTTGGCAATGCTATATGATGAATTGAAGTAGCTGTAGATGTTTGCAATGGGCGCCAATTCCTAGAAAGTTCCAATGAAGGTATCTTCGGTACTTCGTAGTTCTCCAGATCATCTATAGGCGATAATTCCTGAAATCATCATTTAATGCACTGTGATAATACACTTCAAATTATAATAATAATAATAATAATTAATAAATTAATAATAGATAAGATTTTCGAATAAAGCAATGATGAGCCGCTTTTTTTTCACACAGTAAGCAATGAGAAAATGAAATAAATTTAAACAATCGAATGAGTTATAAGAGAAAAACCTGAATTATGCTGAGATCATGAAGTAAATGAGGAGAACTTCGAGAGTAAGTGCCCGAGGATACTGAGAAATCGTCGCCATAATTCGTTTCAAACGATGACGAATGATCAATGGGAACGAGAATAGGCCTGGTTTTTAAATTAGCATGACTAATGGCGCTATCATAACGATTAGAAAAAATTTTTTCGGGCCTGAAAAAAAATTTTAAAATATTAAAATTAAAATAAAAAAATATGAAAATAATAAAAATTCTATTAAGGCGAAACCTGCAAATTATTGAATTACTGAAAGAAAAGCCATTAAGCGAGCAATCCATTTAAGGGAAAGAAAGAAAACGACCTTTTGCCTAACCTTGAAGAAGAAAAGTTAATATATAATAAAACAATTGACCCGAAGAAATGTTAACACTTTGATAATACTTTATTCTTAACTCTTCGCATTAATACTGATTAATATTGAGGATAAAAAAAAAAATGATAAAAAACCTTCGATAAGTTTTCGTAATCCACTGTCGATCTGCACAACGTGCAACTGGCATTCGTCGACAAAAATCACTTTCTGATGTTGTTATATCCGATAAACTCTCGAATGTATCTGAAAGTAGAAAACTCTAAATAGGTGATAGATTATCCACTAAGCTGCTTTAACGAAGTATTTCAGGTTCTCCTCTCTCTCTCTACTCTCTACTCTTTGATTAAATTCATTATCACAGCGAAAATGAAATCATCGGTCTTATCAGGTATTTCTACTTATATATCAAAAACGTTATTTATTTTAACAAACGATGGAAGGTGGACAAACTAAAAATAAAAGAAGCGAATTAGAAAAGAAAACCCTAAATAAGCTTTTTCACAAAATATCTTTTTTCCAGACAAATTAATCAACCTTTACAGGAAGCAGTTGAATCGTCAGAGTCCGAACTCAAATTCATCAAAATTTCCTTCTTTGCCAACGAATCTTTATGCAAACGTTTCCTTTCATTAAGCTTGTATAAACTTAATTTAGTACGTCGATCACATGACATTATTTTTTATCGCTATTAATATTAATATTATTACTATTATTACAAATAATATTCTTGTTAAATATCTGAAATATTCGATAAAAATATTATTAAAAATGGAAAATACAAAAGTAGCGTATAATGCTTTGCATGGTTCAGTTCAGATGGTTTAAATTGTTGCTGCCATTTCGGTTTTTAAGCAAACTCCTCTCAAATCTCCGGTTATTCCTATTGGCAACTGGTGAAATTTTTCGGATCCAAATGGACCAAATTAAAAATAATAAGAAAAAAAAATGAAATATTATTACAATGCGAAATAAAACTATTCGATGTATAAAACCGAGTTTTCTTTTAATTTTTTTTTGAAATTAACAAATTTTTTTCATTCCCCTCAAAATTTAATTTCTTTCGAAATTCTTTATCAGATAAACATATCACAAAATTTTAAATAAAACAATTAAACGCTAATAAAAGAATATTTTTAATGCAAAACAACTTTATTATTAAAAGCAATTTATCTAAGTGGTTCTAAGTGAGATAATCGCTAAGCAAATGGTTTTATTTTAGGACAATTAAGCTTCGCATTAATCCATAAATTGAGATTATCCAGTCGTCAAATTATGAGAGCTTTTTTGATAATTTTTATTCAAATTTAAATTTTTAATTTTCAAATAAATACCTAAATACAACTAATAAAATAAAATATGATATGATATAATTTGAAAAGAGAGAATATATATATATATTGTTGATAATCTAAAAAGCCTTTATCTATCGAATCAAGCAAGAACATAAACTGTCGTTGAGATATAGGGATAATCTGATAATAATAACAATGTAACAATAATTGTGTATAAAAATATGTGATTATATGTGATAACAGTATAATAATGATAATATATAAAAATATGTGATTTATATATGATAACAATGTAACAATAATTGTATATAAAAATATGTGATTATATGTGATAACAATGAAACAATAATTATATATAAAAATATGTGATTATATGTGATAACAATGTAACAATAATTGTATATAAAAATATGTGATTATATTATAACAGTGTAATAATGATAATATATAAAAATATGTGATTATTTACCGTTAGAAGAATAATTTTAGGGGTGAATTTTCAGCGCAAAAAAAATAAGCTAAAAAAAAATGAAAAAGCAAAAAGCAGATGGCCGATCTGCAACTGTCGATTGTTCTTTATATATTTTATATGCCATCTGTTTATTCGAAATTAATCGACTTCAACTAGCATTTCTACTAAGTTGACAACAATATAAATTGAAAATGAGAAAAAAAATTTAACGATGGTTTATAAAAAAAAAAAAACATTAAAAAATGAAACAAATTTTTTCATAAGAATTAGTGAAATTTAAAAAAATTTTACAAAAATTTCTATGAAATAAGAAAAAGAAAAATAAACAAATGAAAATAAAAAAAAATCCTTTGCAAATTAAAAAATCCTTTGTTGAGAAAATTTTTATAGTAATTTTTATAATCGATGGAAAGAAAAAAAAAATTGAATGAAAATTCACTGATAAGATCAAATGAAAAAAAATATTTTTTCAGTGTGATTGTTTGATAAGATCAATTGAAAAAAAAAACTAAACTTTTGATTAAATTTCAAAAAAAAGCAAAAATTTTGATTCGATAAATGAATGGAGGAAACAAATATAAAAATATCTTTGATTATTATTCGATTTATTCCATATTTAAAAAAATTTCTTTCTCAGCCTGGGGGGTCGTCCCTCAAACTCGGATCCACGACGAGAGGTCGAGGATTTTGTGCATTGCCTTTGCTGGTCCTCATAGTGCGCTCTTGCGAATCTCTGATCTCTGATGTTGTTCCTGGAATCTACCTTCCTAGTTTAAGCGCTCCAATTCGAATGGCTAAAATTATTTTATCCATCCATGAAATTATTATATATACGTATAATAAGCAAAATTCAAGGGAAAAAAGCAAAAAAAAGAAGGAATCTGGAAATCGATTTCCTTGCAAAAATAGGTCACTTGATTTATGCATACGGATGAACATTATTTAATTGTAACCCTATTATTGTAAACGGAAAATATTCTACGCAATGAAAAAACACAATACAATCAGACATTTAGAGAAAATATCGAATAAAGGTTGAAGGTCACGTGAAGTATAAATAACTATTACTCGAATTACTGGAAGATGAGTCCTTTCGAAAGGTGAAACGCTTTTTGACGCAATTCAAGCCAAGTTCCATCGTCTCTATTCTAATGTTCTCTATTTGATCGAATTTGAAAGGGAGGTGTGAGGAAAGCGAGGAGGAATTCTGTGAAATGATCTCCTCAATTTTAGATGCATGCATGCTCGGCTTGACGATTGCATGCATAGATTTCATTCATTCATCTCCGGTCAAATATCCGCATTGGCGATCTGCTTTTGTAACATAGGACAGACAAAATTTTGTCGCATTTTTTGAAAATGAGAAGGAGAAAAAGAAATGATTGTCATGTTTAGCGACGACGACTGACTATAACGACGACTTTTCGCGAAACTGCTCGACGAGGAATGAATTCAAACTGGAAACACAAAGAACGACGTTTCGAAACGTACACTTTGAATCGTTCAAATAAATAAACGTCGTTATTATCGCAAAAATGTATCAATTCAAATCGAATTGCGTATAAATTTTCTTTGCATTCCTAAATTTTTTCTAAGAAAATCAAATGAATTCAAAAATTTTATAAAATTTTTTATGAATTTTATTAAAATTATTGATTGCTTTATGAAAGGGTATTACAAAATGTCCTCAAAAATAAAATCGCTACTGACCCGTAACTATCGGTGATTTTTTTTACGTCCAATTAATCAACTTTCTGAACTTTTTCATATTTAAATATCGATATTTAAATGATAATATTTAAATAATTAAATTAAATTTTTTGTAATTATAAAAAAATTGTTTTATTATTTAATCTAATTGTAATTATAATAAAAATTATTTTATTTATTATTATTATTTATTTTAAATTTATTATTATTTATTATTTGAATTCGGAAAGATTTATTTTGGAACTAACTAATTAATTTTGTCATCGTGTGAAATCTATCGATTCCGAGAAGAGACTTTAATTAGATCCACTAATTTAATTTCTACCATAAGATAAAAATAAATAAATTAGAAAATTTGCATATCCATGAAATTTTCTATTTTATTTGATATTAATTGAAGCAACAAAAATGGAGAAATACAACTTCAAAGACATAATATAATACAAAATTCAAAATTTATAATAACCATAAATTTAAACAACATCATATACTTCATATCTTTTCATTCTTCTTCATTTAATACCATTTCTGGTACGAATAACTCCACCATTTTCGAGAATACAAGCGCATTCCTGGATTTTACTTTTGAAAAGCTAGAAAATTTTTATTTTTCTTAATTCTTAATACAAATTTATTTCAATACGAGCATAGGAATTAAATACGCATCGAAACAATATGATCGAGCAAACCATCTTATGCTTTTCATTAAATACAAATTAAATTAAGAAATACAAAAAAATTAGAATTAAAATAAATTTGAAATTGTAACTTTTATAAAGCAACCAGTATATTTAAAATATGATAACCACTGCAAATACATTGAGAATCACTGACACAGTAAAATAGGAATTTATTCATGATTTCCAGTTATGCATCCACTGGTTCAATATTATAACCAGAAGCTATACCAGAACGCCCTTCTTGAAGCTGTAAAGTTTCCATGCCAGTAGAAACGTCATCAAGACCTTTCCACGAACGTGTTCCGAAATGATTTCCTGAAATGTTCAGTTTAATGGCAGGCAAAAAAAAGAGTTTCCTCAAATCGAAAATAGAGAAGCATAAAACATAATTTAATTTCAGTTATGAAATAATGTATAATGTGTTGAAAAAAATAGGGAAATAACCGGCAACATATGAACAAATATCTCGACAGTAATTCGAACTTTCGTCCACTTCATCGCATCCATTAGTCCGTAACCGACCAGTTATCATGCTAATATCTGGTTCTTTTAATCCATTGACCTCAATCGCATCTAAATTCGAAAAATTGAAATTCGGTAAGAACAATTTCCTCCAGGAAATATACAACAAGTATTTAAACGAATTTTTAAAACCTGGAATAATCATTAAGTAATATATATTTAAGCGAATTTTTAAAACTTGGAATAATCATTAAGTAATATATATTTAAGCGAATTTTTAAAACCTGGAATAATCATTAAGGACCTGGAATAATATACCATTAACAAAATTGCTAAATTCAGCAGTCCATCCTTTTCCACAACTCCAATCATGGTAATCGTTTAAAGCAATCTCAGCTTCAAATAAACTTACTAATGGTCGTATGTAATTTCTTTTATCCAATATAACACCCAATGGGCATGAGATAATAACGAATATATCTATATCATTAGCAAAATTTGAGATTTTGGCCTCGTTTACCTAAAAAATTACCATCATTCATTTAACCCAATTCATCTGCTTACTTAATTATGTAAAAGCATTGAACTTTAATTATGAATTCAATTCTCCATTATCAAAAAGAATTTACCTTCCCAATTGAAAAAACATAAAGTTTTTTTCCTGCTGCTCTACAGAGTTTTCGCATACGTTTAACAACTTCTCGGTGACCCAGAGTATCAATAGTTCCAACCACTAAACCAATAGTTGTAGCATCGCGAATTTTTTCAATCAGAAAAAGACGTTTACGTAAATGTTGAGTTGCATTTGAACTTAAGGCAAAATTTTTTATTCATAAAGAAGCAATTATTTAAACGAGTATTGTCTACATCATAATAATTCAAATTTCATCTCCTCGAAGATTTATGGGAAAATCCCTAAAAAATATCCTGCAATGACAATGTCACCATCATTGTTAAAAAAAAATTATTTTAAAAAATTCTTTTAAAAAATGTAACCATGATAATGAAGCATCACCAGTTTTCGGGAAATAAGTGAACACTTTTGAGCAATTAACATGGGTCAATAACCACAGAGGAAGAATTGCGCTATCTTCATCGCCAACAAAAATTACAGTCAAAAATGAATAATTATGAAAATCGGAAGGAATATGACGAGCCAGTGAAACTAAAAATTCAAATGATCGAAAAAACTCAAAATTTTTTATAAGAAATATTTATTACTTCCTTATATAAAATTTGTAAAAAAAAAAATATAACCAAAGAATCTGATAAAAATGCTTTTAACACTTTAACAATTTAAAAAATATTTATAATTATAAATATTTAATTGTTTAAATTTCAAAGAAAAAAATCAATTAAAGAAAAATCCTTACCTGATGACGAGTCCGATCCATTCTTTTCGATCATTAGATTAAGATGTATCAATTCCACGTGGCATAAAGAAGTTTTTATGCAATCAATTATTGCTTCTGAAAAGGTTTGGAAATTCGAATTGAAATTCGATGCCTATTAATCAAAGATGAAATGCTAAATTCAAATAAATTAAAGAGAAAAAAATAGAAGTCGTATAAACAACAATTAGAATATAACTGGCTAAATGGCTAAATGCGAAGTTTTTTTTTGAAAAACCTTCAAATTAACGGCTCGAAATAAGAACCCGCTAAATTTGCATATTGCGTATCATACAGTAGGACACATTTTCCTGTTAAATCTGCTTCATACTGACATAATTTGGATTTGAATGAACTAAAGTCAATAGCTGAATTGCCGAAAACATATCGCACAGGAAGATTGCCAGTTCGCTTACTAAGACATGCTTCTCCATAATGAACAATGCAGTCCACGTTTGCATGCTGAGCAGTTATTTCATCGACACAACAACTTAAATTCATGGATAATTGAGAATAATATTTTGTTTTCAAAAAAATAACATAAAACCAGAGTAAATAAAACCAGAGTTATACTGAAGATGGACCTATCCTGACCATCGAATGATTCCATAGGAACCTCTCAACTATTGTATTGCCGAGCGGTTAGTGCAGTACAGTCAGACAAATCAGAAACCTTTTTTTTAACAAGCGCAATGCACTTGCATTAATAGCAACAAATGTGGTGCCCAAATGAAAAAAAAAAAGTAACAATCTGAAAATGTAGAATTGTAGAATAGTACAATTCGAACTTAAATGTATTGCTAATATAATCGCATGCTGAAATATGTAAAATCAAGATTTCAATCATCCAGCATAATGCGAAATTTTCAAATGGTTAACAATTTCTTTTAAAACAGCTAGGAATGATACAAACCAGCTTAAGCTTATGCCACTAATTAATGATGCAAATGAAAAAATCATGAGTTCATATTTTGCATAATAGGTTTTAATAATTTATCTCATTAGATCTCGATGAATATTTAAAGTTAACCTAAAATTATAATATTTATAATGTTATAATATTTCAGTTTTTAGTTTTATAGTTTTTAGACGGCTGAAAAATAAAATTAATATTCTTGAGGATTTCTTTATTATGGCCATAAAATGAAAGTAAAAATCAAGATTTTCATCCACAACTGCCACGATCTGAAATATTCGACACATACCTGATTGTATTACCATTAATAAAAAGATTACGCCTACTTTCAGATTTACATGTATTGTTTACTATACTTTTGAATAGAAAGTATGAAAGAGAAATAAGAATAAAGAAGTCACCATATTATGCATTTTAACTGGAGAAAACGGGGATAAAGTGGCTCGATAAGTCATTGCTAAATTCGGAACGTCGATGCTGAGGTTCGATTTCCCGCAGGAATAAACCTATCCGAAAATCTGGGAAATGCTGGCACAGATGATGATGGCGAACCACCTGTATTTTTATCGCCAAGGAACTCCCTGGCATATTTGCTCAGTGCGAGAAGCCAGTGGAGCGAGTTTAACCAGTAATAATGAGGAGACTCTTAAAAAAACAAACCTCCGATAGGACGAATCGGCAACAATAAAAGTCTTTGAATCGCTCCGAATTTCTATGAGATTTGCAACATCAACCGAAATCGAAAGGTAAATGTCGGGAAATTGCAAAGCGACACGTTTATAACTACACGATCGAATCCACTCGACAGTTCCGTCAATATCGAAGAAAACTTCGAAATTTTCATTCATCGATACCTGAAATCGAATAGCCTCTTGAAAGACGACGAACTGCCACCCAATCTCCTCTGCGAAACCATCCGACAAGCATCGATCCGAAAACGTTGTCCCATTTTTTGCTCGGTTCAGAGGTCAATTGACGAACATGTTTAACAGTAAAATGAAATTAAAAGAATCAATTACTTCGACAATTGAATTAAATAATAAAATAAATCACCATGTTTGCACACTGCACCAAACCTTATTTACTTCTTAGAGAAAACTTACACCGTAATAGAACATTCTTTTCCTGATAATTAACCAAACTAACAGCTCTATATTTATTCAAACCAGTTAGTCCTGTTTCATTGTTCGATAACCATATTTACGGTTTTTACAATATTATTTTTTTACAATATTTTTGTTGTAAAGTTTTTTACAATATTCTTCTCCATCAATGTTCATCAATGTTTCTTCTTTTTCCAATACCTTACACCACAGTTTGCTCCACTGGTTACTATCGTCGGATTGTTCCCGTAGAATCAACTGAAACTACTAACTATATATTTAATTTTCCAGTGATGGTTTTGCTATCATGATTTTACGCATGCAAAAGCAATAGTGTTTGACGCAGGTTAAAGCAACATGCAAAGTGGCTTTCAATTACAACATCTCGACAAGTTACTATGCGAAAGGAAGAAAATTGGAATTTTGAATAATTTTTTTAATGGTAATTTTGTAAGTAAAAAATTTTTAATTTATAATAATGATAATAAAGATTTTTTATAAATCATTTTAATTATTTGTTAATTTTTTATTATTGAAATTTTAAATCGTTGATCGATGGAATAATTTCTCTTTTTTTTCACAATTTTCACATGGAATCGAGAATTTTTCTATGAAATTTTCTATGAAATTCCTGTGAAATTTTATCAATTTTTCACTCGTTTCCCTCGTTTTGTGGGAAAACTACTTTTTTCCACTATTTATTTGTTCTTTAACTTTCTACGATTTTCAGCCAACTTTGTCCTTTCAAATTTCTTTCTTTTTCTGGATAAACGTTAATTTCGTTTTCCAATTCAAAGTTTATAAATGATCTTTTCAACGGTAAACAACTTAAAAAATGGTGAGAAAAAAAAACTGAAAATTTAAATTATGAAAAATTTTTACAAAATCTGATAATAACACTTATCCAAATTCATTATTCGTTATGTCCATGAAAGCGAAAACTATGTGACGGTTAGCGTCAAAAGCGAGGTAGACCAACCAAGACCTGGACTGATACGGTGAGAAAAGATTTTGAACGTAAAGATGGATCAGCTGTATATGGACTTAGATGATGGGAAAATGAATGGCTTCTATTACTGATGTCGACGATAGCATCAGACCGAGCAGCTTGGAAGCGTCTTACCCTTGTAGCCGTTGGAGTCAGCCTAACCAGTAATGGGCGAGAATTGTTAAAAGAAGAAAAAGAAGAATGTCCATAAAAGATATGCAAATTCTCAAATATTTTTAATTTATCTTGGCTTATTGGTTTTTCGATTTCAATAAATCGAAGAATTATGAAGAAATAACGCCAAAAGTCTTATCAAATCTTGTCAAAAAATTCGTAAACTCCCTCAAAAATTTTCCATTAATGCACCCAAATTGGATTCATAATGGTGATTATACGTAATGCCATTGATGCGTTAATTTTACAATTAATAATTCATATTGCATAATAATACATAAAATATTTATAAACGAATAATTCCCAACTTGATAAATCCTTTTAAAATTAAGAGATTGACCTGAATTCGTAAAAATCTTAATGCCATCTGGTCTTATTTCTATGAAATACGGTCGAACCGAATTTAACATTCTCGAAAATATTAAGATTTTATATCAATAATATCTTCCTAAATATGTATTAAAATTCAATGTCTTTTTTGAGTATTTCTGCTAAGCACCACCATTTATGTTTTCTCAACCGCTGGAGAAAAAGTCTCAAAAATTGAATAAACGTTACTTTGCAAGTTGAGTCCATCATTTAGACTTTTTTTTGGTTTAATCCGGTCCGAGGACTTCTTCTCGCGCTTTATGAGTTTTACCTCTTGCAAAGCTGATTATTATAAAATATTATTATAAAATAATATAAACAAATCAATAAATAAATAAATGCTAAGACTTTATTTTATGAGTAGTGTAAATGAATAAAAAAAATGAATAAATAAATAAGTAAATAAATAAATCAGTTGTGAGACGAAATATTATTTTTTCCAGCATTCTGCTAGTTTTATTTTATTTTGACTTAAAATTGCAAAAACAAAATTCTATCCAAAACCTCCAAAATATCAAAAATTAGTTTTCCAGGTAATCGCTCGTGTTTCATCTATTTTGGCGAATGGTTATTTCTTGATTGTTAAAACTGTCAAATGTTAATTAAAAATTGATAAGTTTCGGCAATTCTATCAGATTTTCAACTATAAATTATAAATTCATCATATTTCATTAAAGAAATAATAGCTTTTTTAGTTGAATTTCATTATTATTTCCTTATTATTTCTTATTACTATTATTATTATCATTATCATTATTATTTCCTTAATATTTTCCATCATTACATTGACAAATGAGAATATTTGTGGTGAAAATCTTCGAAAATTTTCTTTCGATCGGTTTACCTAACAATGTTCGATTCATCCGATGATGTGCTAATTAACGAAACAACAACGAAAAATGTTGCATTTATCGACCTGATTTTCTAATCACTTTGTAACCTAAAAGTGTTCTGATAATAATAATTTTCTTTTCTTAGAAAATCATATAGTAGAATTTCTTATTGAAAATATTTCGAATTTTATTATTATTAGCATTTTTTATAATATTTCTAGAAAATATAGCGGAATTTGAGAAAATTGAGGATTAAGAAAAGAAATTTGAAATATATATATATATATAATTAAGGGATTTAAGAAATGTTTTAAAATTTTAAGAAATGAATAAAGAACACAATTTTTTTAATTCTAAAAAATAAAGAAATAAAAATTGCTCGCCTTTTTTTTGACAAAAGGAAAAAGACTAAAAATAAAATTATTATTTTTGGCATTTAAAATATTCGCCATTTGAAAATAATAATAATAATAATAATAATAATAATAATAATAATAATAATAATAATAATAATAATAATAATGTTAATAGTATGAGGCAAAATCTCAATTCTTAAAAAAATATTTAAAAATAATAAATAAAAAAGAAAGAAATTTGCGAAGTTGAATTCATGCATTTGCTTTATATTTCGTAATTTTTAATAATATGGAATGAATATATTGAATTGATCTCAAGTGCACTAAATGATTTGGCGCTTATCCTTGTTAGGATTAAAACCTGTCCATTAAAAATCCAGTAGTTCTGAAAATCTTCCATGCGGTTTTTTAATGAGATTGTCTCATCCCTGCGATAGCCAAGGGGAGTGCCTATTGATACGCAAATAATTTTCATAAACAGTAATAACGACGTTTTACAAAATAATTTTTCAGATCTAGCCATCATTTTCTCTACTTATTATCAAGAAAAAGAAAACATGAATTCGATGTTGATAATAATCATTATCTTGATATCGACCATTTCAGCTGATTATAAGGTATAGCAATATTTTTTTAAAATTGACTTTATATACGTTGATCAACCACAAAAACTGTTTGTTGCTCATTTCTAACAATTGTAAATTGAGGAATCATTTTATTAGAACCAAAATGGCTAAAAAATCGTACACTAGAAAGAAGGAATAGAACAAAATTGGTAGAGTGAATGAAATTTTTTAAACAATTTATATCAGGCAAAAATTTTTGCGGGAATTTTAAGGATATTTGTGGCAAAAAAGAATCCGAATATGCGCCCTGTGTTCATAAAACAAAAGCGGACCAATTATTTATGCAATGTTGTATGCAATATATTCCAAACGATTGTCATATTTTATGCAAATATGAAGTAGAAGAAGTTGAAGCAAGGCAATTGGTGAGTTGCTGAAGCGATCTTTCGATACTATCATTGAAATCATTGGTTTTTCTTCGGTGTCATTCATTTTTTATTAAGCCACTAAGTGTTTTTCAAAGAGTTTTCTTCCCAATATTCTTGGCCTTAGCTTTAATGGCTTTGATAAGCAAGAATTCCTATAATAGTTATAGAATATTTTGAGATTATACGATTCCCTAATAAATCATTAAATAAAGGTTTTTTTATAAATAATTTTTTTTTCACATGCAATAAAGTTTTAGCAAAAAGTTTAACATTTTTCAGTTGCTTCACTCAATAAAATTTGGTTCTTGTGATTTGAAATATATCAGTACTGTATTATATTGTGCTTCACAAAATCAGGTAATCCTTTATCAATTGATTTTGTTCTAAATGTAAATTAATTTCAAATAATTAAAATTTATATAAGTTTAAGATTTGTAGAGGCAAAGATCGTTTCCATAGCAATTCAAATCCGTTAAATTTAAATAAATCTAATCCGTGGAAGAAAAATATAAACATGATCACAGTTCATAGAAGAATTTTAGGATAATCGAGAATGTTGTGAATATCTTAGTCTTGCTGATGAAAAGCTTGGTGTCGGTAAGCGCTGCTTAAGAATGTGTGATCCAGCAGGTTTACGAATTGGTCGTATTCATCGTAAAGATATCACTTGCTTATATAATTGGAATGTTATTATGTATTGCCATCAGAGTGGTATTCCTATTGAATAAAAAAAATTATCGAAAATTTCATATATTTTTTTCGCTAAAAATATACATACTCTTGAAAAAACATGAATATTTCGAAATCTAATTGAAATAATAGATGTATGTATGAATAATATTGTTTAGCATAATAATTGAATAAATTATATATATATATACATATTTTTTTTCTGATAAGACAATTGAATCATTAAAAATAATTTGGAAAAATTTATTATAAAAATTGAATTTTATTGAAAAAATAAAAAAATAAATAAAAAAAGGAAACGAAAAAACAAAAACCTAATAAATTACTTTAAAATGAATAAAAAAAAATTATGGAAAAATATTCGAACATCTGGAATCTCCTTGCTATATAATCGAATTCGTCAACAACTAACCAACGATATCTTCATTTCCTTCTTGTTTATCTTAACTATTTTATAATTTGAAATTTTTAATTTTTCCCTTTTTCTGAGAAAAAAAAACTTTTTTGAGCTTTTTTTTGAGAACTTTCTGTCAAATATATGAGAGAAATAAGTGCAGTAAAAATATTGGATATTGAATTATTTCTCATTTCATATTAATTTTAATCATTTATTTACTTTTTCTAAACAACAAAATATAAAAATTGATGCTCGATTTTCGTAATTCATTTCCAAGTATTTTAATGTTCAATTATTTTAATGATCGAAATAAGTTCATTTTATGAGAAAATTTTTTCTTTTAAAAAAAAAAACAGAAAACTTAATAGTATGTTTGTTGAGGAAAAATTTTTATGATTTTTATTTGTATAATAATAATAACACTTCTCCAATAACCTTACGATTATACTGTGGAATTAAGAAAGACTATTTGACGAGACGCAGAAATTGACCAGGCGTTTCCAAAAATTCTTTTCCATATTTTTAAAGAAAGGATATTTTATGCTCAAAATCTATTTAGCCCTTATATTAAATAATAATGCCAGATGATGAGATATAAATTTGAATTTGTACTAAAAGTTTTGCATTCCTATTGGTTTTATTTTATTTTATTTAACGAAGGAAAATACGATTTATTAAATAGAATATATTTGGAAATGTATCCATAGGCTGCACCAAGTTACCAAAGAGTATAGGTAAAGAAAAAATTTTAAATATTAAGGAAAGCAAAATCATCTTTGTATTTTTCGACGTAATTATGATGTAAAGATTATTATTATGACAAAAGAAATTTTATAGTTTGAAATTTATAATTTCGTTAATTTCAAATTGAGGAAAAAAAAAGCTAAACTAAAATGGAAAAATTTTTCGATATCGTGTTTAATACAAACTTCATTTTTGTGAAAATATAGAAATATATTTACAGTAAAAATCTAAGCTTAAATTGGAAATAAACGTTTAGATTGGTGGTGATTTAGGTTCGTCCCTTGGCTTCATTTGTCGCTGTAATAATTCAATGCAATCACAAAGAACCACAATTTGTTTAATGGAAAAAAAAAGGTGGAATAGGAAATGAAATGCTAAAGAAAAAATGAAAATTATTGAATGGAAAAAGCGATAGAAGAGAAAAAAAATTTGTTTGAGTTTCACCTTGTTGGCTTTAAAAATTCCCATATAAAAGGATAATAAGCCAAATTTATTTTAGTTTTCTAACTTTTCTAGATTTCTAAATCATTAAATTTGCTAGGAATCGAAGTTTTTTTGCATTATATTTAAATCTAAATTACAATTCTCTACCAGATGTACAAATTATTTCATTCATGAAAAAGTATTTCTTATCAATCAATAGTTTGGTTTTTGTGTTATTGTGCCAAAGAAATCACTTAAATAATTTTTTCCGAATTACATCGCTGATAATAAGGGTTAACAATTTTATTTAAAGGATTTTGAATTTGATTCTGAATTTTTTGATTGATTTATTTAAATTGTTTAAATTATTATTTGCTTAATTAAAATGAAATTTCGAAAATTTTTAATGGGAAATTTCCAATTGAAAAAAATTTTTTAAAAAAAAATTTAGTCAAAATAAATCAAATAATCAAATATTTAATTAAAATTTTTTCGAAATTTTTTTGTGTTGATTTTATATGATATCATTACAAACTCTATTTATTACGAAAATATATTAATTTCATACATAAATCTTGGCTGCGAAACATGGCCAATGAAAGTGGAAGATATTAAGAAGGCAGGTATCAGCCTTTAACCACTCATACCTAAGATATATTTTACTGATCCGTCGAGCGGATATCGCACATAATTGTATCTTCACTCAAATACCACCTGTATTAATAATGTCGACTTCGCTGGTTAAGGCATGTTCTTCGCGGCCTACCACAGGAATTGACACTTATTTCGTTACTTGCTCAACCGGATGATGGGTGGAATCAAAAGCAAGGTGGTCCAATCAGACTTGGACTGGCACAATCAGGGAAGACTTTGAACGCATAAAAAGGCACCAACGATATATGGACTTAGACGACAGGAAAAGGAATGGCTTCTATTAGCGATAGCACTGAACCGAGCAGACGACTTGCCTTTGTGGCCAGCGGAACCATTAAGCTGAAGAAGAAGATGGCCTGTTAATTTTTAATAAATAGCTTGTTTTTAAGATTTGATAAGCTTAAGCATAAGCCTAATAAAAACATGGATGAGAAGAGACCGGTTAGTACCAATCGGTTCTTCGTAAATTTTCCAATTTTCATGGTCATACAAATGCATTTCAATAAGTTCCAGTACTATTTTGTTAGTTTTCTTTTAGCGAACTGTAAAAATTTGAATAAATTGGAAATTATGTAAAAGTTATCGAATTCACGGAATATATAAGCTTTTGCTTTATATAGAATATAACCGATTTACAGTTTGTTTTGTTTTACTGAATTTATGGAAAATTTTTTTAAACATTAATGAATACTTTTATGTTCCATTGATTCTACTATTTCGAATATTTTTCCGAGTACTTGTCGGTCAAGTTCCACATTATTTCAATTGACTTATACGGTTATAATTCTTCGGCTTTTATTTGACTCTATTAAAAACTTTTCGAGATGGTTTGAATTAATTATTAATTAGCTAAATAAGTATCTCATTAGAGCATTCACTATTACTGGTTAGATTCGCTAATCGGCCTAGACAAACATGTCAGGGTGTCAGGGACTTTCTAGGTGATGGAAATACAATGGTGATAGAAATTTATACCGCCCACCGAGCTATGGAAGCAAATTCACTAGAGATTTTTATAACCTGTTATTCAGATTAAAGCTATTTGGTGCAGATTATGTAATTGTTGATTTTAGTAATCTTAATATGCCAGACATATTGGGAAAATAGTTGCTTGAAATGAGGACTTGAAAAGAGCAAAAAAAAGGAGGACTTTTTAAACTTTTGGACCTATATAGGTGTAGAACATGTTAAGATTGCCACTTATAACATTATAACATTATTTTAGATGTTATTTTAGCTACTGCTAATTTTTTTGTTGAAAGCATTAAAGTCTTGGAACTTTCTTGTAATAGTGGTCACAATATCATTCATGCTTCATTAAAAGTAAGCCGTTATGTACCTTCCTCGAAATATTCTAGTAATTACCGTTGTTGTGATTATGAAGTTTTTAATTCTATCCTCGCAGAAATAAACTGGGATTTATTTTGCTTAACTCTCTCTAAAAAGTTAATTTTCTTAATAGCGTCATTTTATGTCTTACAGAACAATATATCCCTTTAAAGAAAAAAAAACGTTAGGTCGATTCCCATTTTTCTATAATCTCTTTTAAAAAAAGTGTCAAGAAACTTTACAATAAATAAATTAACCAAATTAGCAAAGTGAATAAAGAATGCTGCATGTAAAGAATTTCGAGAACTTAAAAAGTTTCCGTAGTGCCATTCATAATACTTTTCGAATAAAGAAGAGCAACTTTTAAATATTAATCGAAATTCTTTCTGGACTTATATCAAAAGAAAATTTGCAAATCCACCTAATTTTGCAACATAATGATAATGATAATTAGATCACATCTGATATTGATATTGCAACTATATTTAATCAATATTTCTCTAGTGTATTTGTTGAGGATAATGCTCATACTTCTTGTTTTAACGTAAATCGAATTTGTTGCACTTCTCTCGGTGAGGTTGAAATAACACTACTGTATGTTCGTGATGCCTTAAATAAATTTAAGCTACCCTGTTGAGGTTCTCCTGCAGTGAGATAGGAATAATAGGAATAATAAATTACAATCATTCAAGTAAAATAATTGGATGACTCCAAAAATATTTTATACGGCGCCTCTCTAATTGCAATTTTAATTATAAAAGAAAACTTCAACAATATAACCTGGATTCTCTCTTACTTCGTTATATTAAACAAGATTTAATTTATACTTATAAGATTCTGTATGGTTATGTTAAACTAGATTGTTCAAAATATTATAATTTGAATCCAAATTTTATCCAAAAGGCTAAATTTGAATCCAACAAGAACTAATGGGCTAAAATTGCTAAATCCTATGTGTGTAACTAAACTAAGGATTCATGAATTCTTTATTCGTATTATTAATTACTGGAATTACTCGAATTACCGAACTATATAGCTTGTGCGTCATCTTAGCTATCATTTAAAAAAGATTAGATCGTTTTTGATATAAAAAATTTCACCTCAAACAGGAAGTATGAAATCTCGATTTTTCAGACCATCAGATTATACATAAATTTACACAATTACTTCGAATTGTGCTACATTATATTATTTTGTAATTTTCTCTTTTTTTCCCCTATAAATTGTTAATTATTTATCATAATTTTTTTCTTTTTTCTTATTATTAATTTTTATTATTTATTATTTTAACTGTTGTTATTAATACAATTACATGGCGTTATCGCTCTGCTTGGCTTGTTTTCAATAAATAAATAAAATATATACAGGTGGCTGTCAGTATTACCCAGTCAAAATGCTTTTAATGCAATTATTGCATTTAAAATGCAATTATTTTATATAAATTTATTACCATATCAATTATCAAATCTGCTTCTAATAAATGGTTACAGG